CTCTTGGCGGACACAACACCTTTGTTTGTTTGTGGTGCTGAGGATCGAACCCGGGCCGCACGCATGCCAGGCGAGCGCGCTACCGCTTGAGCCACATCCCCAGCCACTCAGCTTGGTTTTTTTGTTTTTAATATTTTTGAAGTTGTTGATAGACCTTTATTTTATTTATTTACACACGGTGCTGAGAATTGAACCCAGTGCCTCACCCATGCCAGGTAAGTGCGCTACCGCTCAGCCACAGCCACAGCCCCTGTCCTTTTTTGATTGTATTCATTCCTCCAACTAGATTACAAACACCTTAAAATTAGATACCAAGGGGCTGGGGCTGTAGCTTAGTGGCAGAGCGCTTGCCTTCACATGTGAAGCACCGAGTTCAATCCTCAGCACCACATAAAAATAAACACATAAAATAAAGGCATGCTGTACAACTACAAAAATATTTTTTTAAAAATTAGATACCAAAACAAACATCTACTATTGTAAACAAACATCTACATCTGCCAACATTTTTGTGGGGGAAGGGGCTTACCACTGAACCTCATCCCCAGCCCTTTTTTGTATTTTATTTAGAGACAGGGTCTCACTGAGTTGCATGGGGACCTCCCTAAGTTTCTGAGGCTGGCTTTGAACTCAAGATCCTCCTGACTCAGCCTCCTGAGTCACTGGGATTACAGGCTGTACCACCGAAACCAGCACATTGACCCTGTTTTTACTGCTTTAGATGTAACAAACACCAAATAGTAGAAACCATCTGATTCTCATGAACTTGACTCCAGGACTGGGCTTTTATGAAGAGAAGAGGCAGAGGTGCCATGGCTATTAATGGCCACTAGAGGCTCTCAGGGTTGGGCAGGGTATGGGGGCTGTGTATATGTGATCTCCCACTACCCCCCACCTGGCCAGAGCTAAAATAATAAAATGCTGATCTCACTGTTCCCCCACCCTTTCCCCCGGCTCGGCACCAGGCTCCTCCTGCTGCCGGAGCAGTGCCCCAGTAGAACAGAACTACTGACAGAAGGGGAGGTGAGAAGGAGGTGGCCATCAGGACTGGTAAGTGGGGACAGCAGGGGGCTTACAGTTGAGAATCTGGTGGGAGACAGGAGAAGAAGAGTAGCTCTTAAATAACATGAGTATGTCTCTGTCACTCAGTGCTTGTCTCTGCCACCACCCTGTTCCTTAACTGTGTCATTTATGTTGTCGATATAAGTGTCTCACACACGTTTTGGGTCTTTTACCTTAGCAGGGTGTGTATGTGTGGTTTGTGTATGTCTTCACATTGTAAAAGATCATGTGAGTTTAATCTTTCCACAGTTTTAAGAGAGTCTTTACTCCATTTAAAAGGCATTTCTCACCCATTGGTCTGGTGTCACCTTCCTGGTGACAGATATGGGGACTCAGTCCCTTCTCCTGAGGCCATACTGCCCTTCCCCCAACTTGGAAGTCCCCTAGCTTCTGAGTCCTTGCTTTCCCTAAGGATTCAGAATTTTAGCAAAGAGGTGAAGTGAAATTTTGATCCCTCCACATAAAAGAGGAAATACGGGTGGGATAAAAAAGTTCGCCTCCCTCCCCCAACAGCCCTCCTTGTTTTCCTTAGCCAGTTTAGTAAAACAGACTGAGTAATAGTAAGGAAAGGACGAATTTCCCCGAAGCCCTCTGTGCACCCCACCCCCATACACACACCTTTCAGTGGGGACTGGGCATGACTCCAGCTGTGCTGGCAGAGCTCCCAGCAGCTGTGCTAGGCAACAGGCCTGATGGGCGAGGGTATGGGGTGCATGTTGCCAGGATTTCCCCGTCACACAGTGAGAGGACAAACCCAGTTTGGATCCTGGGATCCCCATCCAAATTGGGTAGAAGCTGAAGGAGACCCAATTCTAACTCTAAACAAACTAACCTCCCCTCCCCTATTAGATTTCTAACCTCCAGCGTTCTACCCCCGGCTTTTCTCTTTATGTCCATACTGTGTCCATGTCCATCTTTCCATGTCCAACTACTTTTTCCATGTCCCCCCAGGCTCTCAGTGCCACACAGTGGGGAAGGGGTGGGGGTCACCATGTCATCATATCAGAAGGAACTGGAGAAATACAGAGATATAGATGAAGATGAGATCCTAAGGACCTTGAGCCCCGAGGAGCTAGAGCAGCTGGACTGCGAGCTACAGGAGATGGACCCTGAGGTAGGGGCTGCAGCACAGAACCAGGAGTAGTCCCCAGGCATTTGGGAAAGGTGCTGGGCTCCGGGTGGCTGAGACCAGAGCTAACTACAGGGCCTGGAGTCCCAAGAGAGCCAGGGAAAAGCTATCTGGAGATGTTTTAGGGAGCCCTAGAGGTACACCAGAGGGGTACCTGACATGTTTCCTAAAACTCATCCCTAAGAACATGCTCCTGCCAGCTGGATTAAGACAACGTGACCAGACAAAGAAGAGCCCCACAGGGCCACTGGACCGAGAGGCCCTTTTGCAGTACCTGGAACAACAGGCACTAGAAGTCAAAGAGCGTGATGACTTGGTACCCTTCACAGGAGAGAAGAAGGGTATGGGGACCCTGACTTCCATGCCTCCCAGAAATTCAATGGCTCTTTCAGTCTCCCCTCCAACTTCCCTCTCACCTCCAAACTCCTACCTGCCCAGGGTGCCCTGACACCTGCATGCCAGCTTGCACTCTGAAGTTTTCATCAGGGATCAGGGGATCCAGGAGTCCTGAACTTGTAGAGGATTCAGACTTTCTGGTGTCCCCTAGCAACCCAGCATTATACCTCCTGAAGAAAGGAAGGAAGCTGGAGGCCAGGATCTTGGGAGAAATGACCTCTGCCTGAACCATCCTTCATCTCCCCATCAGGGAAACCCTACATTCAGCCAAAGAGAGAAATTCCAGCACAGGAACAGATCACCCTAGAGCCTGAGCTGGAAGAGGCCCTGGCCCATGCCACAGATGCTGAGATGTGTGACATAGCAGGTGGGTGGTGGGGAGAACTTGAGGAGGGTAGAGGATCAGGGGCAGGGGTGTCCTTGCTGTGACAGGACACCTATAGATGGGAAAGGCCTATATTCTGAACTGGGCAGAGATGTCAAAGCCTCAGGCAGTGGTTTTTTAACTTTTCTTAGTTGTTTACTTATATATATATTCATTTTTAATTTAACAAGGTAGTATCCCAGAGTAATTTTACAGAGATTATAAAAGCAAAAAAAAAAAAAAAAAAAAAAAAGGGGGCTGGGGATGTGGCTCAAGCGGTAGCGCGCTCGCCTGGCATGCGTGCGGCCCGGGTTCGATCCTCAGCACCACATACCAACAAAGATGTTGTGTCCGCCGAGAACTAAAAAATAAATATTAAAAAAAAAAAAAAAAAAAAGGAGATGTTCTGGCTAAAATCAGCAGGGGTTCTCTGCAGACCCTCATCACCTTCTTATAGTTCCTCAGGGGGACTTCCCTAAGCCCTATCTCAAAGTTTTAGAAGCCACTGCCTTGGGCAATTTATAGAAGGGAACCTGGGGACTGAGGATGGGTGGGAAACCCCTATGGAAAAATGAAAGGGGTTAGGATGTACAAATGCTGCTGCAGAGTAAGGTGAGAGGTGTGCTTGGAACAGGCCCCTTCTCATCACCTGCACCTCCTTTACTTCCCCTCTCTAGCAATTCTGGGCATGTACACACTGATGAGCAACAAGCAATATTATGATGCCATCTGCAGTGGAGAAATATGCAACACTGAAGGCATTAGCAGTGAGTGTGTTGGGGAAGTAGCCCCCCACCCCAGGGATCTGGGCAGGCAGTCCCAGAATCAGAGAAAAGGTGGCAAAGGGTAAAATAGATGAATCTGGGTGAGGACATGGTGCATGAGTGATAGAACAGTGGGGAGATTGTGGGGGACATGTTGGGGTTCCCTTCCTGCTGTCACCCATCAGGTGTGGTACAGCCTGACAAGTATAAGCCAGTGCCAGATGAGCCCCCAAACCCCACAAACATCGAGGAGATGCTAAAGAGGGTTCGAAGCAATGACAAGGAACTGGAGGAGGTGAACCTCAATAATATACAGGTATTTGATGCCCATCTTCCAAACAGTAACACAGGGATAACTCTGCTGACATATGAGAGTCTCTAGCCCATCATCTCTCATGCTCCTCTGATAGGACATCCCAATAACCATGCTAAGTGAGCTGTGTGAGGCGATGAAGACAAACACCTATGTCCGGAGCTTCAGTCTGGTGGCCACAAGGAGTGGTGACCCCATTGCCAATGTAAGACTAGTTGACATTCTCAGCCCTCTCCCCACACCTTGATATGAACCCTGGGCAAGGCTGTCATAAAGGAGTGGCTAGGGGTACTATTCCCATCATATTTTCTTTCTTTTTTTTGGTGGGGGGCACCAGGGATTGAATCCAGGAGTGCTTTACCACTGAGCAACATTCCCAGCCCCTTTTATTTTTTGAGACAGGGTCCTGCTAAGTTTCTGAGGCTAGCTTTGAATTTGGGATCCTCCTGCCTCAGCTTCCAGAGCTGTTGGGATTACAGGCATGGCTGCTATGCCCAGCTCATTGTATTTTCTTCAGACAGACCTCATGGGGGGTGATTTAGCTCAGTTGGTAGAGTGCTTGCCCTGCATGCACAAGGCCCTGGTTCAATCCCCAGCACCACAAACAAACAAACAAACAAACAAACAAACAAACAAAAAATCTCATGGAGACCCTGACACATAATCCTATGGTTTGCAACTCTGAAATCCTGAAATGATTTTTCCAAAGGGCCTTAGTCCTTTCTGATACTCCAACTCCACTGTGTGCTTAATTTCCATTTTTACCTACTACTTACTTCAGTCTCCCTCTAGCCCCACTTACAGCTCCTCAAGGACTCTTCAAAAAGTTGTTTCCTTCTTGCTCCTGTTCTTTCTCCTCAGTCATCTGTGAAACTCTCCTAATCTTAACCCAAGTTCCTACTACCTAGGCGGTGGCTGACATGTTGCGCGAGAACCGTAGTCTCCAGAGCCTGAACATTGAATCCAACTTCATTAGCAGCACAGGACTCATGGCTGTGCTGAAGGCTGTTCGGGAAAATGCCACACTCACTGAGCTCCGTGTGGACAACCAGGTCAGCATTCCTTTCCCTTGGTCTTCACCTTCAGCTAATACCCAATGAGTTTCCTCCCTGAGCCAACCATTGGAGCAGTTATCTCACTTGATTTTGTTGGAATTCTCGTTCCTCTCTGTGAGGGAAACCAAGTCAGCACCTTTCTTCATCACCTGGAGAAACGAGCCCCATGACTTCCCAAAGGCATCTATGGTCTGGGTTGGTGAATGACCCAGAGGGTGGCTGACAGCTTTCACCTCTTCCTCCTCCAGCGCCAGTGGCCTGGTGATGCAGTGGAGATGGAAATGGCCACCGTGCTCGAGCAGTGTCCCTCTATCGTTCGCTTTGGCTACCACTTTACACAACAGGGGCCACGAGCTCGGGCAGCCCAAGCCATGACTCGGAACAATGAACTACGTAAGTAATTGCAGACATGGTGTGTGTGAGCTGAAGACAGGAAATGTGGAAACTGGTTGATGCTCCTGAAAGCAGACATAGTGACAAACACCTTGGGTTGTTGCCAGAAATATTCATATGAGAAGTTCAGATCCCATGAGTGATGAGAAAGTATATAGAAAGTTCTTCTGCCCCAGATATATACCCATAGAGAGGTGGGAAGGAAGCTGGACAATTTTTTTTTTTAACTCCAGAGTACACTACCACTGAACTACATCCTCGGTCCTTTTTATTTATGAAACAGGATCTCACTAAGTTGTCGAGACTGGCTTTGAACTTGCAATCCTCCTGCCTCAGCCTCCTGAATCACTAGGATTACAGGCATGTGCCACTGTGCCCAGCCATAATTCTAATATTTGGTGTAGTTTCTTACGTTATTAATGTGGCATGGACATGTCAGGTGGCCTAAGACACTACCATCTTATGATTCTAAGGAACTGGAAAGAAGAGTACCCTTGCCAAAATCAGGAGATGGAACAAAAGCTTGTGTTTGCTTTCTTTCATTTACAGGTCGCCAGCAAAAGAAGAGATAAGACCACCCTTCCCTTGACCAACTAGAGCTGGGAACCCTGGACACGTAAATTCTCATTTCCCCTCTTCCTGTAAATAAAGGCCCTTTTGTCCATCCTGCATGACTCCTTCTTGGGCTTTTGGGTGGGAATCTTGGCGCTAACCCCCAAGGGTTACTGCCAGTTCATCAGGGGATTATTTATACTCTGGGGATCAGCAGGCAGAGAGTTTCAGGTTACTAGGAGAAGGTGGGGGAGCTTCCTCCTTTGGTGTTCCCCACAAACCTGCCAATACCTTCAGTCTTTCTACTTTCACAGAGTATTTGGCTTCAATCCTGTTTCCAGATGTGACCAGAGTCCCCCAGTCTACCCACAACCCTCATGTGATTTGATCTGGGAAGGACTTTGAGTGGAGGTGGGGAAGGAGGCAGACAACACGAAGGGCAAAGACCTCTTTCTGACAGACTTATTAATAGGGCATTGGGCTGCATGCAGCTGACGCTTGGCATGACTTTGGTAGAAGGTGGGGGAGGGATTAGAAGTATGGGGAGCTGTGTACATTGCAGAGAAGGAATGGCCAGGTTGAGAATGAACAGATCTGAAATCCTGATATAGAACAGGAAACTCAACTCAAGGAAAGTCAGGCTCCCAGTGCCCACTGTAGTTTATTTGTAAATGAATGGGGAAAGATGGTTTCAGTCTATAGGGAGATCAGGGGGTTCCTCCTCATCAGAGTCAAACTCAACATTTTCATCTTTTATCCATCGACCTCGTCCATCTGGGATCCATCCAGAGCTGGAAACATCAGAGAAAATACAATTAGTCAGGGAGGTAATATAATTTGTGGCAATAAGAAAAAATATTAGATAGGTTTGAAAAAAGGAGGGTCAGGTAGCGTGTGGTGGTACACTTTTATTATAATCTTAGCTACTTGGATCACAAATTCAAGGCCAGTTTGGGCAACTTACCATGACTGTCTCAAAATAAAAAATTTTAAAAAGGGGGCTGGAGGGGCTGGGGATGTGGCTCAAGCGGTAGCACGCTTGCCTAACATGCGTGCGGCCCGGGTTCGATTCTCAGCACCACATACAAAGATGTTGTGTCCGCCGAAAACTAAAAAATAAATATTAAAAAATTCTTAAAAAAAAAAAGAGGGGGGGCTGGAAATGTAGTTCAGTGGTAGAGTGCTCACTCAGTATGCAGAAGGTCCTGAGATCAATCCTGAGTACCACAAAATAATAAAAATTAAAAGATAAAGGGCTGAGGTTGTGGCTCAGCAGTAGAGCACTCGCCTAGCATGTGCGCGGCCAGGGTTCAACCCTCAGCACCACATAGAAATAAATAAATAAAATAAAGATATTGTGTTCAACTATTAAAAAAAAAAAAAAAAAAGACAAAGGAAGCTAGGGAGTGTGGTGGTCAAGCCTAGCATGGAAAAGGCCCTAATTCTCAGTACTGTGGGAAAAAAGAGGTCAGAGAGAAAACAGAAAACCTGAGGAAATGTGATTCGGCATATTCACCTTCGAAGTGTGAGGTAATGGTTCAGGGCTCGTCTTCTTGTGGGGCTCATAGGTGCAGGGGTTGAGACAGTCGCTTTCTCCTTGGCCTGTGGGCCAGCCTCTGGCTCAGGTTCCCTATTGCTCTTCCTACTTTGGAGCTGGACCTCTGGGGTTGGCAAAGGGGAACAGGAGACAGAAGGACCAGAGGCTTCTGATCTGGGTAGAAAAAATAAGAGCCTCTAAAAGCAGAAATGGAAAGGGCCAACTATCCTATGACTCCCAACCTCTTAAAGCCATGTTTTCTAAATAGTGTTCGTCAAAATATCAATAAATATCTTTCGGGCTGGGGATGTGGCTCAAGCGGTAGCACGCTTGCCTGGCATGCGTGCGGCCCAGGTTCAATCTTCAGCCCCACATACAAAGATGTTGTGTCCACCAAAAATTAAAAAATAAAATATTAAAAAATAAATAAATAAATAAGTAAATATCTTTCATAAATAGGATTTTGGAATCATGAATTTGGGAAAAGCTAGCTTAACATTTTAAAACTTTTAATCTTTTTTTTTAAAATGACACTACTATTTTTAGTTGTCAATGGATCTTTATTTTATTTATTTATATGTGGTGCTGAAATTCGAACCCAGTGCCTTGCACATGCTAGGCAAGTGCTCTACCACTAAGCCACAATCCCAGCCCTAAACTTTTTATCTTAAAAGACTGTATATTGGGGCTGGGGATGTGGCTCAAGTGGTAGCGCACTCGCCTGGCATGCATGTGGCCCGGGTTCAATCCTCAGCACCACATACAAACAAAGATGTTGTGTCTGCCAAAAACTAAAAAATAAAAAAATAATTAAAAAAAAAAAGACTGTATATTTAGCGAGGTGTAGTAGTGCATGCCTGTAATACCAGCAACTTGGGAGACTGAGGCAGGAGGACCACAAGTTCAGTAACTTAGGGAGACCCTGTCTCAAGATAAAAAATAAAAAGGACTGGGGATGTGATTGAGTGATTAAGTGCCCTTGTGTGCTAGCATATGCCCGAAATCCCAGCAATTCAAGAGGTTGAGGCTGGATCACAGATTCAAAGCCAGCCTCAGCAACTTAGTGAGACCCTACCTCTAACCACTAAGCCACATCCCCAGTTCTTTTTTACATTTTATTAGAGACAAGGTATTGCTGAGTTGCTTAGGGCCTTGCTAAGTTGCTAAGACTGGCTCTGAACTCATGATCCTCCTGCCTCAACCTCCCAAATTGCTGGGATTACAGGCATGTGCCACAGTGCACAGTTCTATCTAAAAATTGTTTACAAATAAGTAAAAAAAGGATTGGGGATGTAGTTCAGAGGTAGTGTCCCTGGTTCAATCCCCAGTACTACATAAACAAAGAAGCAAGCAAAAAACCCTAAAACAATTCAAACCAAGTCAAACACCAGTATTCCTCAGAATACATTTTAGAAAACAATAAATTTAGAACCATCTATTTTCTTCTGTCCTCCCTACTTCTGGCTTTCCCATCCCACAGACCTGTACTTCCGACGGCAGCAACTGTTATAGTGGGGAGCTCTATGCAGAGCATTCTGGGTGATAAGTCGAGTCTGAGTTAACAGAGGAGCCTGGTATGGAAATGAAAGAGTCAGAGCTTTCAGAAACAAAAGTTCTTGAAGCATAATGTATGCAGCAAGGTCTGTCTGTTTGTATGTCTAAACCCCTCCCTCTCTGATTACCTCAGCTTTGGTCTCTTCCCTCCTCAATTCATTCTGTTGTCTTGGATTTTGCTCTCTTCCTTTTCCTGGCTGCTTCTTGCCATAGAAAAGCTGCAGGCCTGAGGAGAAAAGGAAAGAGAACCGAAAACCTAACATCAAGGGCTAGGGTTGTGGCTCAGCAGCAGAGCACTCGCCTAGCCTGTGCAAGGCCCTGGGTTTGATCCACAGCACCACAGAGTGGTCTGTGGAAATTTTAAGTTTATTCTCTATCTCCTGACTTCCCCCAAACTTACTAGACAGATGCTTCTTTCCTGAACGATGGGCAGTCAGCATGGCCAGTGTGTCCAATACAGGTCGATGGGGGCAGATGGCACAAGCAAAGCTGGGAAGGGGGAGAGAAGAAGATAAAAAGCTCAAGGACGGAGGAGTTTCCTGCGGTGGGGAATTTGTCCCACCCCTATTTTAGCAATCCTTTCCAAAGCCTAACCCTTAGGTCTCTCAGTCTCCACCTTTTCCAGTCCTCACTTCCCACCAAAGAATCCTAGATACTCCTGATTCCTTAATAACAAAAGTTTGTTGAGCCAGAAACCCTTAGGTTCGATCCAATCTTTGCCCTCACCGTCCATCCCGTAGCATCAGAGCCTCATCCTCCGGGATGTAACTGGCCAGCAGGTCCCCAACCCTTCGTTTCTGCAGGGGACGGAAGAAGTTTGGAAAGGATCAGCGGAATAGGAGAGATGGGTGGAAAGTAAATAACAGGGATGAGGAGCCTAGTGGAATAAGGGTCGTGGGGAGAACAGCGATCATAAGAGCTCCTGGGAGCCTGGCTCCGCACCAGGCAGCTCACACTCTCAACTTTGGCTCCACATTAGGTTCTGGTCCCTCCATAAGAAGAAGGATCACTCTCATTTCTTCTCGTCTGGATCGCTCCACTACCAAACCAGCTGTTGCCAGGGCAACATAACAGAACTCCTTCACAGCCTTCAGAAGGTAGCTGAAGATGCTCCAGGCCCTCTACTAGCACTTACTTTGAGTACATTGAGCTGACTCCAATCATCGCCTTCCCTCTTGAAAGACATCACGAACGTGAGCCCTAGAAATGATAAATTCTCTTGGGCCGGCTTCGCCACTCCTTCAGGCTACCGTAGGAAGAATGGAACATCTCCGTCCCTTCTTCCGGTCTCTTCCGGGTTGGTCTTCGTAAATTTCCGGAGGTGCGCTTCCACGAATGCACCGCGCGATCCCGAAAGCCCGCCTCCCACGTTCTGAGAGGACTGCATTTCCTATGGTGCGCTGCGACCCCTCCGACGCGGAGCCTTTTGGGAAATGAAGTCTTTTTTTCAAAGAGCTTGCCGCTCAGCTGGGTCGAGGCCCTAGCACCTTGACGGATTCCAGGCGTCGGGAGGGACCAGAACCTAATGTGGAGCCCAAGTCTGAGGGTGTGACCTGCCTGGTGCGGAGCCAGGCTCCCAGGAGCTCAGTGGAATGTGCCCTACAAACTCTCGCAGTCTTCGAGCGTCTCATCAGGGGCCACAGCCGACCTAGGGTGGGCCCGAGGTGCTCCTGACCACAGCAGATGAAACTCAGGACGGCGCCGAGCCGGAACGTGGGGGCCCGGGGAGGCCTGGCCGCCGTACTAGGAGACACCCTGAGGAACGCGGGTTGAGGAGGGGGCTAGAGTTCAAAGGTCAGAGGTCACCGCAGCGAGGTGCGGCGAGGGGATGAAAGTCCGAGGGTGTTGAGACTCCAGGACTGAATACTCGGGACAGATCGGTGGGTGGGCGAGTTGCAGAGAGGAAAAGCGGAGCGGGGGCGCGGAGGGAGGCTGAGGAGCGAAGGAGAAGGAATTCCCTGGATAGTCATTCCCTGGGTTGGAGCGGCGACACTGCCTGTCACTTAACCGGGCGACCTCTTTTGCGACCCCAGCTGTCCGGGTGAGGAGATGGCTTCTCCCTCTAGACAGCCCCCCTTGGGAGGCTCTGGGCTGCTGCAGGGCAGCCGGGCTCGTTCTTACGGAAGCCTGGTGCAGTCCGCCTGCTCCCCGGTGAGAGAGCGGCGCCTGGAGCACCGGCTGGAACCCGGAGACACCCTGGCCGGGCTGGCCCTCCGATACGGAGTGACGGTGAGTCTCCCGGAGCACCGGGTGCGCGACCACCCGGACGGCCCCTTCGCCGTCTCCCTGGCGCCCCTGCGTGCGCGGTGGCCTCTCCTGTGGGGTTCCACTCGGTGTTGCGCTGCCTGGTGGGGACGGAGCCTGTCCCACGGTGCCGAGGCAGAGAAGTAGTTCCAGTGGTTCTGCCAGACACCGTGCCGGGCGTCGTGTGCAGGAGCCGGTTTCAGCCTCGCATCCCTCCCAGTACACACCTATTTTTTTTTTTTTTTTTTTTTTTTTTTTTTTTTTTTTGCGTCGGAGAAACTTGAGACAGCTTGGCTAACCAGTTTGATCAAGGTCAAATAACTGAACATCAGAGTTGGAATTCAGACAAGTCTGTCTGACTCTGACGACTATATTATTAACCACATAGAACATTTTTAATTGAGAGATTAAACATTTACAGCAAATAATGAAGAGATGGTTTTTAGTTCTCAGTGCCTAAAGTGTTTATCTCTTCTCATTCTTGTTTCCTCCTCAGGGCTCTGCTTTCTTTCCAGGTGCAGAACAGGTACTCTGTACATCAAGTATTTCAGGTCATGATTATGGGAAATTTGATATATGTAAAAATATATTGCATTAAGATGGGCGTGGTGGTGTGTGTCTATAATCCCAGGGACTACTCCAGAGGCTGAGGCAAGAGGATCACAAGTTCAAGGCCAACCTCAGCAACTTAGTGAGACCCTGTCTCAAAATAAAAAAACAAAAATGACTGGGGATGTAGATCAGTTGTAGAGTACCCCGGGTTCACTCCCAAGTACAAAAAAAAAAAAAAAAAATATATATATATATATATATATATATACACACACACACTTATAACATTAAAGTTGGTGAGATTCCGCCCCCCCCATGTCCTATTCCATCTCATACAAACAATGTTGAATTTAGACAACATTTTTATACTTTGTGTATTTATTTATTTTTCTTGTTGGTACTGGGGATTTAACCCCAGGGCATTTTACCACTGAATCACTTTTTATTTTTTATTTTGAGACAGGATATCACTAAGTTTCTGAAGGCCTCACCAAGTAGAATTATTTTTTATTTTTATTTTTTAATATTTATTTATTTTTTTAGTTTTCTGCGGACACAACATCTTTGTATGTGGTGCTGAGGATCGAACCGGGGCCGCACGCAAGCCAGGCGAGCGCACTACCTCTTGAGCCACATCCCCAGCCCACCAAGTAGAATTATTATAGGTGTGTATCACCACACTCAGCTTGCTTTGTACATTTAAAGCACTGTGATAACCCTTTTTGGAGACAGAAACGTAAATATATGGTTGCTGTGCTCATGTAATTTACAGTCTAGTGAGAATGGACAGAGATACAAATAATGATTATAGGTGAAAGAATGTGGTGAGTTTATAGTGGTAATTACAAGTAGTGGGAAAACAAAAAAGATTAACTTTTACTTGGAAACAGGCAGGGATAGCCATCAGTGCAGGTTTTAAGGGTGCCATCACATTGAGCTTTGAAAGACTTCCTCTATAGTTCCTTCCAACAAACCTATTTAATATAGTTATTTATATCTTTGTCTTTCCAATAGCCTATATCCTATAGAGTAGGAACTTTTTCTTTTCAACTTTGTATGTCTAAAGTCTGGCATTGTCTCAGATACATAGAAGCTTAAAAGAATTTTTTTTTTTTTTGAATGAAGGAATGAAATTGAGGCCAAGTATCTACAGGTGGAAGGGCTGGGGATGTGGCTCAAGCAGTAGCGCCCTCGCCTGGCATGCACTGCGTTGGATCCTCAACACCACATAAAAATAAAAGATGTTGTGTCCACCAAAAATTTAAAAATTCTCCCCCCCCCCTCTCTCTCTCTCTCTCTTTCTAAAAAAAAAAAATCTACAGGTGGAGATTGGGAGTGTTTTAGAAAGGGAACATTTCAAGTAGAGAGAGTGACCTAATAAGCAAAGGAAGTGAATATGAAATTATAGGGCATTGTGTGCATATACAAATGTGTAACTAAAAATTTCATCAGTATGTACAACTATAATGCATCAATCAAAAAAAAGTGGAGGAAAAAAGAAAGTATATAGGACAGCCTCTTGGTCTCAGCAAAGGCTTGCAGGTATGTCAAGGAAATTGGGGGACCATGGGATATAGCTCTCTGGTAGAGCATCTGCATATGCAAGGCTCCGGGTTCAGTCTCTAGCACCAAAAAACAAAAACAAAACTCAGTAGATAATAAGTGATTTCCTGGGTAGTCCAGTTTCCCTCCCCTTCTTTTTTAGTGCTAAGGATCAACCCAGGTCCTTGCACGTAGATAAATATTCTACCACTGAGCTACCCCCCAGCCTGATAGCCTTCTTTTTTTTGTTTGTTTTGGTACTGAGGATTGAATCCAGGAGCACTTAACCACTGAGTCTCATCCTCAATGCCCCGCCCCCTTTTCTTTTTTGAGTTAGGGTCTCAGTAAATTTTCTGAGGCTGGCCTCAAATTTGCAATCCTCAAAAAAAAAAAAAATTGCAATCCTCCTGCCTAGGCCTCTGGAGTAGCTGGGATTACAGGCATGCACCACTACCACCACCACCACCCTCATCCTGAGGGTTTCTTATATCCCTGAAAAAAGATGTGTAGTCTAATGAAGAATTTTAGGTTCTGGTTCTATTTTGCTTAGTAGCTGTGTCTCTTCTCATTTGGAGCCTCAATTTTCCCACTATTTGTAAAATGAAGAAAGTGTATTAAATAATGATATTTACTTAAGTTATTACCTACCTATTAATTAAAGAACACTTAGCATGTGCCAGACTCTATACATATATTATCTGATATTATCTTCATAACATTATGAAATAGGTATAACCATTCTTACTTATTTATTTATTGTGGTGCTAGAGATCATACCCAGGGTCTCAAGCATGATAGGTAATCACTCTACCACTGAGCTACCTCCCTAGTCCTTATTCTCATTTAAAGATGAGGAGCCAGGGGGCTGGGGCTGTGGCTCAAGCCGTAGCACATTTGCCTGGCATGCATGCGGCTCGGGTTCGATCCTCAGCACCACATACAAATAAAGATGTTGTGTCTGCCGAAAACTAAAAAATAAATATTAAAATTCTCTCTCTCTCTCTTTAAAAAAGAAAAAAAAAAGAACGATGAGGAGCCAGTATGGTGGCATACACCTATAATCCTAGCTACTCTTGAAATTGAGGCAGGAGGATTGAGAGTTTGAGGCCAGCCTGGGAAAAATAATGATACCATGTGTCAAAATTTAAAAGGCTGGAGGTATAGTTCAGTGCCTTCCTAGTATGCATGAGGCCCAGGATTCAATCCTCTGTACCACAGAATAGATAAAAACATATATTATAAATAAATCGAAAGTAAGACTTAGGAAGGCTACACAGACAGTATAATTGGTATAATTAGGATTCACACCAGGTCATCTCATATTAAAATCCTCACTTTTAAGCCAGATGGTGGTAGTGCCTGCCTGTAATCCCAGCAAGTTGGGAGGCTGAGGCAGGATGATGACAAGTTCAAAGCTAGCCTCAGCAATTTATTGAGACCCTGTCTCAAAATAAAAAATAAAAATGGCTGAGGCTGGGTGTGGTGATGTTCTCTTGTAATCCCGGTGGTTTGGGAGGCTGAGGTAGGAGGATCATGAGTTCAAAACCAACCTCAACAACTTAGTAAGTCCCTAAGCAACTCAGTGAGACCTGTCTCTAAATAAAATATAAAAAGGGCTGGGGATGTGGCTCAATGGGTAAGCATCCCTGGGTTCAATCCCTGGTACCAAAATAAATAAATAAATAAAAATACAATTCTTACTTTTGCCAGGTATGATTCATACCTATAATCTCTGCTTCTTGGGAGGCTAAGGGAGGAGGATCACAAGTTCAAGGCCAATTTATCAAGATTAAGGATGAGGATGTAGCTCAGTGGTAAAGGATTCAGTTTAATATATATATATATATATATATATATATATATATTCATATATTATATGATATTATCTTTTTTTTTTAACTTTTTTTTTCTTTTTTAAAGAGAGAGTGAGAGAGGAGAGAGAGAGAGAGAATTTTTAATATTTATTTTTTAGTTCTCGGTGGACACAACATCTTTGTTGGTATGTGGTGCTGAGGATCGAACCCGGGCCGCACGCATGCCAGGCGAGCACGCTACCGCTTGAGCCACATCCCCAGCCCCCCATGATATTATCTTTATATATATTTTTTTTCCACAACTTAGACCCTGTCTTAAAATAAAAAATAAGAAGGACTGGGGATGTAGCTCAATGTAAATCACTTCTGGATTTAATCCCCAGGTCCAAAAAAAAAAGTGATTTTCCAAACTGGTGCCAATATAAAATGAAATTATAGTAAAATTGACACTCTGCCTTCTGATAATACTAACATACTCTATCTTTAGTTATTATATTTTATTATCTAGTTTATTCATAATGAATAAGTAAACCCCTGATAGGTGCCAAGCTCTGTGAAATGCTAAGGTACACCTTGGGGATACAGAGACATCAAGTCACCATCCCTGCCCTTAAGATTCACAGGAGGGCTGGAGATTTGGCTCAATGAGAGTACTTGCCTAGCATGCACAAGGCCCTGGGGTTCAATCCCCAGCACTGCATTCAAAAAAATAATCATAAAGGGGCTGGAGGTGTAGCTCAGTGGTAGAATGCTTGCCTTGCATGCATGAGGCCCTGGGTTTGATCCTCAGCACAACATAAAAATAAATAAATAAAAATGAAAATATTGTGTTCATCTACAACTAAAAAGTATTTTTAAAAATAGTAATCATAAATAAAGACACAGGGTTTGAATAGGTGCTGGGGATATAGCTCCGTTAGTAAAGTGCTTGCCTCGCATGCACAAGGCCCTGGGTTCGATAACACCGTCAAAAAAAAAAATGCTACAAAGACACAGAGTTTGAGTAAAACATTCATAGAAGTAAATAACAATATGGTAAGGCAATGTGTTTTGTGGGTTTTTTTCTTTTATATTTTTTCATTACTGGTGATTGAATTCAGGGTCTCTCATATGATATACAAGCACTCCACCACTGAACTATTCCCCAGCCATTTATTTATTTATTTACTTACTTATTTGGTACTGGGAATTGAGCCAGGAAGCTTTACCACTAATCTTTACCCAACCCCCTCCTTTTTTAAAAATTTGAGACAGGGTCCCCTTAAGTTGTCCAGGCTGGCCTTGAATTTTTGATTTTCCTGCCTCACCTTCCTCAGTTGCGTGTTTACAGGGATGCACCACCACATCCAGCTTGTTTTTATTTTTGGTGTAGTTCCATGGATCAAATTCAGAGGCTTTCACATGACAGGCAAGTCCTCTGTTATTGAGCTATCCCCTCACCTGTCATAGGACCAGTATTATTACATCAGTTACAGCTGTGAAGAAGGTAACACAAAAGGAGTGTTGATGAGTAAAAATTCTCCAAGCAGAGAAGGGGAGAGTGGGGAGGCATTTCAGGCAGAAAGAGCAGCTTGAATAAGACAAAGTATGAAAGATCGTGGAATCTTCAAAGAAAAATGAAAAGTTCAGGATAGCAAAGTTTGTATAGATGGCAGAAGAGACACAAGGCTAGACATTTCTGGTCTGAGAAAACTAGACTGAGAAAACTCTGAATGTTAAATTTATTTTTCATTTTTGGTGGTGCTGGGAGTGAACCCAGGGCCTTGTGCATGCAAGGCCAACTGAGCTATATCCCCTGATTTTTACCTTTTAGCCAGTGAGGATCCATAGGAGTTTATAAGCAGGCTAGTGGGTTAATCAGATTATTTTTCTTTTTTTTTTTTTAAATAAATATTTTTTATTTTATTTTATTTTTATTTATTTTTTAGTTTTCGGCAGACACAACATCTTTGTTGGTATGTGGTGCTGAGGATCGAACCCGGGCCGCACGCATGCCAGGCGAGCGCGCTACCGCTTGAGCCACATCCCCAGCCCCGAGATTATTTTTCTATTTGCGAAGAGGAAGATGAGTAGAAGTGAAAGAGGAAGAGCAACTACACTGTTGGGATAACTCAGATGAGAAATATTAAGGGTTTATTCTAGGGCAATGGCATTAGACATGAAGATAAGATCAGATGAGGCATGTCTATCTGTCTGTCTCTCTCTTTCTTTCACTTTCTCTCTCTTTTTTTCATCATTGAGTATTGAACCCAGGTCTTTGCACATGCTAGGCAAGCACTCTACCAAGGAGCTACATCCCCAGCCCTGCCAGCCCAGATTTTTAAAGCACTTTTGTTGTCCAGTTTGGTGTGGATGATAAAAGTACATGATAAGGGGCTGGGGATGTGGCTCAAGTGGCAGTGGGCTGGCCTGGCATGCGCAAGGCACTGGGTTCGATTTCCCTAGCACCACGTAAAAATAAATATATCGTGTCCACCTAAAACAAAACAAAACAAAACAAAAACATGATAAGGATGACATTAAACTGGGTATTGTGGCATTTGCCTGTAATTCCCTGCTAAGCTGGAGGTTGAGACAGGAGGATTGCAGATTCAAGGCCAGCCTGGGCCACTTAGTGAGAGACTCTATTTCAAAAAATAACTTTGGGGGCTCGGGATGTGACTCAAGTGGTAGCGTGCTCACCTGGCATGCATGAGGAACTGGGTTTGATCCTCAGTACCACATAAAGATAAAATACAGATATTTAAAAAATGAATAAATGTAAATAATAATAATAATAATAATAATAATAATTTTTTAAGGTGTAGCTTAATAGTAGAGCACTTGCCTAGCAGTGCGAGGCCCTGGGCTCAATACCATCCCAAAAAAAAAAAAAAATCAAAATCAAGCCAGGCGGGCTGGGGATGTGGCTCATGGGCTGGGGATGTGGCTCAAGCGGTAGTGCGCTCGCCTGGCATGCGTGTGGCCGGGGTTTGATCCTCAGCACCACAAACAAACAAAGATGTTGTGTCCGCCGATGACTGAAAAATAAATGTTGAAATTCTCTCTCTCTCACTCTCTAAAAAAAAAAAAAAAAAATCAAGCCAGGCATGGTCACTCATGCCTGTGATCCCAGTGGCTTGGGAGGCTGAGGCAGGAGGATTGTGAGTTCAAAGCCAGCCTCAGCAGCTTAGTGAGGCCCTAAGCAAGAGACCTTGTCTCTAAAATACATTTTAAAAGGGAAGGGGATGTGACTCGATGGTTAAGCACTCCTGGGTTTAATTCCTGGTTAAAAAAATTTTTAAATAAAAAAATAGGGATATATAGCTCAGTGGTAGAGTACCCCTGGGTTCAATTTCCAGTACTGGGGGAAAAAGAAAAAAAAAAAAAGTTGTATTTCCAAGCAGGAAATACCACTGAACTGCATCCTCAGCCTGACATTGCAAGACCATGTCGATAGATGCTGATGGCAGTCACTGTGTTCAGTGATGAATAAATATTTGATGAAAGAAATTATTAAAGTGTGAAAAGCATTCCCAGGAGGAGTAAAAGGCCAAGGATTCTAGTTCTACCCCAGTTTAATTTACTAGAATTTTCTCTTTTTTTGCCGTAATGGGAATTAACCCAGGACTTCACATGTGGTAGGCAATCACTCTACACTAAGCTATGTCCTCAGCCCTTTTCATTTTATTTTGAGTCTCACTAAGCTGCCCAAGCTGGCCTCAAACATGTGATTCTCCTACTCAACCTCAAGAGTAGCTGGTACTGCAGGCATGCATCACCATGCCTGGTTTATAAAAGCTTTTTTCCTCAATAATTTTTAAAAATGTAAAGGAGCCCTAAGACTAAAGAGTATGAAAATGGCTTACATATAAATAGGAATAATGTCAACCCTATGTATTTTAGATTGGTGTTATGATAAGACTGTACAATTACTTTAAAAAGTTTTAGATACTATGTAAGATTGATCATTGTAACTGTTATTAATCTTGATGACTTTTTTTAAAAGATGGAACAGATCAAGCGTGCAAACCGCCTTTATACTAATGACTCCATCTTCCTGAAGAAAACTCTCTACATCCCCATCCTGAGAGAGCCCAGAGACCTCTTCAATGGTTTGGATTCAGAGGAAGAGAAAGATGGAGAGGAAGAGGTAGACCCACGTAAGGATGAAGTTCAGCTACACTCAGCTGAGAGGAAGAAACAAGAGACAGGTTCAGGCCGTGCCAGTGGTGAAGCTCTCCCTAAAGCTGGCCAGGAACCCCCTACTCCCCTCCATGACCTCTCTGCCTCTGATTTCCTTAAGAAGCTTGATTCACAGATCAGCCTGTCAAAGAAGGCTGCTGCCCAAAAGCTGAGAACAGGGGAAAGCAGGTGGGTCTTGAGTAGTTCCTTGTAAGTCCCTGCATAGATTCCTCCATCTTACCTAACCATAAACACAAGTGCCAGCAGAAATGAGGTGATACCTTTTCCTTGGTGACCCCACGACAGTGAGCAGAGCCAATGGCTGCTGGATGGGTTGAGGTGGTGGGAAATTGGGTTCCATGTTATCAGTGGAATTAAACAGTTGACTGTTCTTCCTGCTCTGATAATCCATGCAGGAGCATTAGTATTGAGAAATACATCTTAGAACAGCTAGTTCGGGAATCAAGAGAGGAAGAGAGCTTCCCCTCTTCACTTGGCCTATTCTCAGGTTCTTCCCTTCATCTATGACTCTTTCCCTGCTTTTCTCACCTGCAGGATACTTGGGGAAGATGCAGGTCTCCATCAGAGCTCCCCTCGGATGCAGCAACGAGCAGTCCTAGGTCCTGTGCCACTGACCCGGACCTCTCGGACCCAGACACTGCGGGACCAGGAGGATGAAATCTTCAAACTCTGATGTTCCCAGAACTGAGAGAAGCAGTATGTTGAAGAAGCAATGTGAGGGGGAGAGGAGCCTGAGGTGAGGCTCAAGGACATGGCTTCCCAGCCTGACTCCCTCGACTCCTGCTGTCTTCTCCAGCCTCCCCGTAGACCAAGAATTCCTTGGCCTGGGCATTTTTCTGGCAGGAGTTCGAGATGGGGCCTAGACCCCTCCCTAGTTCTTGGGCTGAATCTAGAGTTTTCCTTTAGATTCAAAAGGTTCTTTTTATACCCCTGCTACCTTTCCTATCCCTTTCACTCTTCTCTGGCCTTAGAGCAGAGAAGCAAAGACTCCCTTTCAACTTCTTCCCTATCTCTACCTGTGTTACCTAATTTATTTGGTGCTATATTGAAGTAATATTTATTTGCTGTATCTAACTCTTTCCCACTGTTAGCTGAAAATGTGATTTCTAGAGCCCTGGGATGAGGGGAACCCAGACACAATTAAGTGGTCCATCAGCTTCCCCACTGCTTGCCCACGCATGTTATCAAGGACAGGGGAATCGTGGTCTAGTGCTGTCATGGAGAACAGTGGGCTGTTCCAAGTCTTTTCCCCAGTCTCAAGGTGAAGGATTTGGGTTCAGTCTGACCAACTAGTTCCCTATACTTCTAAGAAAAAGCAGCAATGTAGAGACCTGAATTCTCCATTCTTCCAGTTCACCCTTCTGACCTCTCTCTGCTCAGCCTGCAGTGGAGCTAAGGGATAGAAGAAGCATTGCCTTGGGGTGTGAGAAGGACAGTTGTGGGAGTCTCTTTGTTACACCCCCTCCCAACTAAAGCCTGTCTGTGTACGCCTTGCCCCTTACTGCATATTTATTTGCAATTTGTAGCACTGGTTTGCGGTACAGTTTTTTTTTTTTTGTCTTAAACAGAAGAAGTAGACAAGGGAACCTCAATAATACTGGAAATGGAAATATGCCTCAGTCTCATGTTTCGAAATAGTGAGAGGTGAGACAAGTGGTGTTTATATACCTCCTTTCCTCTGTGATGATCCTAAGGTATAAAAAACTGGAGAGATTAAACATTGAGCCCTATGCACATTTTAGTAGTTTTATTTCCCCTGTGAGACTCTCCCTTACCCTAGTTGCTTCTTCCTGCACTCTAAAACAGGCTCTGACATCTGGGCAAACTCCACCTAGAGCTGGGAGTCTAGAACATCTCTAAGGGCCACCTTACCCCCTCCTGTCTTTAGTGTCCCCAGAGGGGTTATATGGGCTGCACCCCCTTCCCTTGATTCATGGGAGAAGGGGCTTCCCTGTTTCAGAGTCCCTCATGGGAGAAAGAGAGATCCAAGTTTCACTTCGCCTTTTTCAGGCTGCTTTGTTTCCTGTGCTAGGGCTGGAGTGGGAAAGGGTCCTCACCCCTCAGCGTTGCTCCTTCTCCACCAGCAGTTTGGGGGCAGGGTGGTCTCAAAGTCTAAAGCACTCTTGAGAACGAAGGCTGAGGATTGAAAAGCGTTAGTGCAGATGAGCAGGGTTAGAAAGCCTGTTATCTGTTTTCCAGCTGGCCACGGGAGGCGGTGCTGGGTTCAGAGCTTTCAGAGCTTCCCCTCATCCAGCAGCTTCCTGAGCCCATCGCAGATCTTGCCAAGGTGCTGAGTGAAGCCAGGCCCGTAGAGGGCTGTGAGCAGCCCTGGGTCAGAGAAGTGATCAAACACGTGGCGAATGCGGCCCTGTGACTTGGGTGTGAGGTGGTGCTGCACCAGTTCCAGCAGCATGTCTCGGCACTCAGTGAGCAGGCTTGCTAACACGGCAGCCTCGAAAGTGAAGTCCACCTCGCCAAAGCTCAGTGCCGTCATAGCACCCTGCCTCAGCTTCTGGCGAAAGCGGGTAGCCAGGTCCAGCTCGCTGGGGCCAAAGCTGCCATTGCGGTGCAGCACAGCCACCTTGACAGCCACCTTGATCAGGTCCTTGATAACCCGCTGGGCCTGGGGCCGACTGTGCGTGTACTCTTTGGACACACGGTACAGCTCGTCTAGCACCTCGCTGCTTGTCTCATCAATGAAGAGGTGAACCACAGACCGACCTGCCATCTTACTTAGTAGTTTCTTCTCCGCTTGCAGTGCCAGACTCTTTGAGCTGAAGGACTCCATGGTGTCTGGGAATGGGTATGTGGACAGTCACTAGAAGAGAGGCCACAGGCTTCCTTAGAAAGAGAGAACCGGCTTTTCCCCTTTCTGTTGCTTCTGTGGTTCCTTTGTCCTCTTTCCCCTGGGCCCCTCCATCCTCTCTGCCTTGCTCTTGCTTTTTTCCTTTAGTGCTGTATGAAATCTTGATCTCCAAAACAGCCCTGAAGAGCCTGGGTTACCCAGGCTGGAGGACCGAGCACCCAGAAGCTAGCCTCCCGGAGTTTCAAAGCCTCAGGGGAAGTAGTCTGTTGCTGCCACAGTGGAGAGAGCGGGGCTTACCTGGCAGTTAATTCTCACAGCTATCATTTTTGGATGCCAACTGTATACCTACAGCTGTAAGGTATACACATCACTCTTGATGTTTTACAACTGAGCAAACTCAGACTTGGGTTAAAGTATTTACCCAAGATCAATCACAACTGGTTTTTTGGTCTCCAAAAGTCCATATGTACTAATATTGCATTTTTATCTTATTTGTTTTCAATACTTGGGATTGAATCCAGGTGTGCTCTACCACTAAACTACAACCCAGCCCTTTTTATTTTATTTATTTTGCAGTGCTGGGGATCAAACCCAGGGCCTTTGTTCATTCATTCTACCACTGAGTCTCATCTCCAGCCCCTCAACCCTTTTTATTTTTTATTTTGAGACAGGATCTTCCTAAGCATCTGAGACTGTCCTTGAGTTTGCGATCCTCCTGCCTTGGCCTCCCAAATCACTGGGGTTACAGGTGTGCACCACCATACCCAGTCACTGCTTTGCATTTGAAAAAGTGAGAAACACAGGGACCCAAGGAGTACTAATACGAATACCTAACATTTACTCAAAACCTTCTGTGTGCCAAATGCTTTATATGAATTACCTGTCTACCCAACTGTATAAGGTTGGTATCCCCATTTTGCAATGAGAAAAACTGAAGTTAAGCAGTTTGGCTGAAATCACTAGTAAATGATAACAATGAATGTCAAACCAAATAATCCAAAAAGCCCTTCTTCCCCAGAGCTGTCAATGAGGTTGAAGACACTGAGCAAGTCTGAGAAACAAGCACCTCAAGAAGGGCAGGTAGTCCTAAAGCTCTGGTCTGCTGGGCTGAACTAGAGACCCTCCTAGTGACATAGATGATGAATATGTCCAGGGTTCTCCCCTGTGATCCTCGCCTGTGGTTCTGGTTGTTTTGCTTCTTACTTCCCCCTCCCCTGCTCTGCAGGATGTGGTGGCTGTGACCGCAGTGAGGAGCAGCCTGGTCCTCTCCCCTAAATGAATATGGGAGTCTGAAGAGGCAGTGGAGGTGGGTACCTGAAGGGGTTTCTTCCCCAGCTGAATCTTTCCAATGGGAGCCTTCAACATTGATTTGCTTCTGGCTTGCCCTGGGGCTTTCTAGATGAGGCTCCACAGCCACCGGAAGAGACATTGCTCCATGTGAGCCTTCCTTCCTCCTTGGCCTTCCTGTTACCCAGCTCTGCGTTGCCCTTATTGCCATCTCACATTTGGTTCAGTCTTCTCACCCTCTCCTCCTTACAGTGTCCCCTTTTCTCCCCTCCGGGCTCTGCCTTTAATTCTGGCCATGGTCTCCCTCTGGTCCTGACCCATCTACCTCCAGGTCTTTGACATTTCCTTGTATCTTCCAATCCTCGCCACACACCCATACCCACCCTCAGCCCTCAGCCCTCCCCACCCACACCCCTCTCCCAAGCCAGGACTTTCTTTCCCAGGCGCCTTGCCCCAGGGAAAACTCAGCTTTACTGGGTTACAACCAAGAATTCTGCAAGTGTAAGCTTCATAGTATAGAAAGCTAAGTCTGAAACAGCTAGAGACCCTCTGCCCACCTCACCCTGAAGTCTACCTTCTGTCATTGTTGGTCCCTCACCTGTCACGCACTGGTGCCAGTCTTGCCTTGGATGTTCCGGGAGAGCTGACAGAATGGAGAAGCTCCTAAGTGAGAGGCCCTCTGGCCTGGCCCCACCCCTCAAGCCCCGCCTACCTACTCTGTGCTCTACCTCCGGTTCACCATCCCTGTCGCCAAGGGGGCCAGTGGCCAAACAGTCACCTAGACATAAGACGAAGGACAAAAGGAATAGAAGGTCTCTGATAAAACCGACTTGACTCTTTGAAACAGGCAGAAGGGGAAGCACATTCACCACTCTCAAAATGTTTGTCGGCTTCTTTCCTTGCCGTCCAGATCCTTGAGATCCGATTATATTGCTGTGTTTCTAGAGAGGATGTAGAGTGTCTCTTGCTGGGTGGGGGGAGTCAGTGGGAAAAGTTCTGAAGAGTGATACCGTGAGTCAACATTGTCACAAGCAACTTTCAGCTCCTGACAGGTAAGGTTGGCACAGGCCTTAGTACTGGAGGGAGGAAGATGCTGGGCTCAGGGCTGCTGGGCCATGTGTGACCAGCAGGTGACAGCACTGCACTGAACCACTCTAGAAACAAGGAACCCCCAAATGAGGGCAAGTTCTTGAATGAAGCAAAAGCATTTAACATAAAGAAATCTACCGCTGGGCGTGGTGGCACACGCCTGTAATCTCAGCCCCATGCCTGTAATCCCAGCAGTTTGAGTGGCTGAGGCAGGAGGATCACAAGTTCAAAAGCCAGCCTCAGCAATTCAGTGAGACCCTGTCTCTAAATAAAATACAAAATAGAGCTGGGGATGTGGCTTAAAATAATAATAATAATAATCTTACAAACTGTCCAGGGCCATAGATAGCTATAATACAAGTCAAAAGTCAAACAATGCTATTAACTTTGTTTACCATGGGTCTTGCTATATCAACCAGGTTGGTCTCTGACTTATGGGCTTAAGATGATCCTCCCACCTCAGCCTCAGCTTCTGAAGCAGCTTCGACTACAGTTGTGCAACACCCAGATCATTCATTTTTATATATTTATTTTGGTACTGGGGATTGAGCCCAGGGGTGCTTAACCATGTAGCCACATCCCCAGTCCTTTTTAAAAAAATATTCTATTTAGAGCCAGGGTCTTTCTGAGCTGCTCAGGGCCTTGCTAAATGGCTGAGGCTGAGGCTGGCTTTGAATTTGCGTTCCTCATGCCTTACTCTCATCAGCTGCTGGGATTATAAGCTCTGCCATTGTGTCGTTTGTTTTTTTTTTTTTTTCCCATAGGGGATCAATCTCAGGTCCTTACACCTTACACTTGCTGGGCAAGCACTCTACCATTGAGCTATACCACCAGCCCTACCATTAGCTTTAATATAGGGTTAGAGGTTTAAAGAATTAAAGAGGCTTAGATTAATTCTGATATGGCAGAAAAGTCTGACTTGCAAGGATAGATTAGACTATTTAGTAATCAGAGATGGGGAAGAAATACTTCCCAGATGGTGGAGCAATGTAAGCATGCACTGGGCATCCTCAGAAGTGGTGATCTATATGTTTGGAGCATAAGTTTTTTGTGTTTGTTTTTCTGGTACTAAGGATTGAACCCAGAGGTGCTCAAGTACGTAGCCACATCCCCAGCCCTCCCCCTTTTTAAAAATTTTGAGACAAGTTCTCACTAAGTTTCTTAGGGCCTCACTAAGTTGCTGAGGCTGATCTTAAATTTGCAATCCTGCCTTAGCTTCCCAAGTGGCTGTAATTATGAGTGTGCACCACTTTGCCCCGCAGTTTTTTTGTTTTATGTATTAGAGTGTTGTAATTATATGTAGTATTTGGGTTCATTTTGGCAAAATTATGCATATAAGGAATTTTATTTTAATCTTCA